AGTTTACTCCTTGCCAAGACTTCAGCTCTGATCTGACCAACTCTGCTGAGAGGAATCAAAAAATGCCTTAATTCGGGGTAAAGCCCCTTGTTTCCGCCCCCCACCCGACCGGCCGGGGCTGGGGGCTGCAGGATGTCGCCTCCGCTGCAGCCCCGGGCTCCTCCGCGGGCTGTGCGGCGGCGCGGGGGGGGCAGCCCCTCGCAGGGCCACTATATGCTGCTGCACCCTACACAATCATTCCACAACACTCTCATTTAATCTAAACATCCCTAAACTTGCAAATTAACAGGCTCTTCAGCTGTAATTATACAGATACATACAAGTGCCACAGGGTCAGGTTATGCCATAGCTATCCATTTTATTTGTATACCTAACGTTCGGGGGAGGAGGTCACACTTTTCACTTTCCTAAGGCATTCTACCCGGTTAATATCAGTAATATCTTCATAATCCTAATTGGGTTGGACACGAAAAATCTAAAAAAACCTGCGTGAGATTACAGGAAGCTAGGATCTCTCGAAGAGCTGCAACATCAGCATGTCATCTAGGCAGCAACACCTTCTCTCCAAGACAAGCCTCCAAATAAAGTCTCTTTTACAATAACTCAACCAAAGACGTTGGGAAGGAACGATGGCTCGCCAGGGGTGGGACACCATCAACGCAAACCCAGGGACTGAGTACGTTCGACTTATCACATACCGCGATTCAACGTGGGTAGCAATGAAAGGATTTAGCCCCCAAAGTTGCTCAGAGGCCGACTGTGCATTTAGGCATATTCGAACAGACATCACCCATACTGACACACAGTGCCTTCCAACGCCACTTCAGGGACAAAAGAATGTCATAATGCTGTAACACAAACAGGCACACGTATCCCTTTGGTGCCCAACACGTTCGCGCTGATGCTCTTACTTTTTCTTCAACCTCCCTTTGTTAATGCCCGGCCACCCTAAAAACGAATACGCAAGTGCTCCTTGCTTGGGAACTTTGGACCTCGCATGGAGTATTTTCAACAACCAGATGGTCAAATCAAATTCTCTTTTACTAGAAAATTTTATTTTTCTCCTTCAAGTGTTAAGAAAACTTTACATTTTATACTGTTAAAGATTTAAAAGAAAATTTTTATAACCTTACATTAATACATCACATTACAAACTTAATGACGAACAGGAATACAACGATATTTGGTGTACAAAAGCCGGTACTCAAATTTACGCTCTTTTCTTGTCGTATCTGCTTGTCATTTTATTAAAGTAAATGAAAAATACAATTTGTTTTTAAAACCTTTAAAACCTCCAATTCAGTAATTATTACAGAACAGCAACAATCATTCTCCGCTTTCCCTTACCCCGTTATTGGTCACAATGCCAGCCCAAACATATTTTCCCCTCTCGACTGCTTACTTTCAAATACTTTGCAAGGAAAGAAATTAAATACATTTAATTTCTATCCTGTGTATGTGCGAAATGGGTTTTGGAGATGTGCATGTCCTCACATCCACAAAGAAATTTCCAACATGGCAAAATACTATGCTTAAAGATGCATGGAAAGGCTCTTAATAAAAAGATGGTCCCCAGTTTTAGCACCTCCAGGTTTCAGTCGTTCTTTACCTTTAATAAATTTGAAACTAAAGTGACCCTACCTCTGTTCAGAAGGTATTAGGACATTCAAAGGCATTTAGGTTTCGTATTGTTTTTAATTGGTACGTTTATGATCAGGAAGAAGATAAACTGTGAAAAGGCAAAACATTAGTGCTCCTACTGAGACCTCTACTAACCTCTCTTCCTGAGAGCACCTCTACTAAATACCCTGGAGCAAAGTCTAGGATCACTTACATTCCAGCAACTCTCACTGGGAATTATCCAATTAAAGCAGCAATTCCCCCACCCCCTTTTCCCTCATAGGTCTAAATACACAACAAAATATATTGCAAAACCCAACTACTCTGTATTTTAATAACCCTGGCTTCTCAACGAAGAAAAGAACGGAAGATAAAACCACCTTGAGTATTTTGCGTCCATGTGAATCATACAGCCCGTTTGCATCTTCCGTTTTTCCTTCTCCACAGAGACAAGATTATTAAAATATCATCGTGCATACTGAAATGGAGCATTGCTTAAGCGATTATTACTGTCTAACAAGGAACTAGCCTCTCATGCTTAATCAATCACTGTCTTTAATTATTGGACTCTCCCACAGATCTTCCTATACTGACGGTAAAGAGTTTGCCGAGGTTCACTTCCGAGTAGCCGCTCATGGACAGACATTTGTCTACGGTGCTCTTCAGTCTTTTGTATGCCTCAGAGACTTCCCTCCTGAGCAGCTTCTTCAAATACTCTAAAAGAACAAAGAAAGAAAACCAGTGAGGGATTAAATGACCACAAAAAGACAATACTACTGTCTACTGTCACTACACTGCGAATCACGGTATTTTAAAACAAGGCGAACGTTGTAGCTAGCACAGACAACATTTATGGCAAGCTCTCACCAACTTCTGCCACCTTCCCCCTGCCTCCCCAGCCGCAGTGCTGCGCCAGCCAGTTAGGGACCACGGGAAACCTGCACATGGTGGCGAGGCTGAAGCTCCCTCAGACCCACCGGCGTGGGTGCAGCGGCTCCTGCAAGAAGCTGGCAAGAAGCACTGCTTGCCCAGTCGCGTCGTCTAACTGGAGTGAAATGGGGGTTCACTGAGTCACAGCAGAGAAAATAAGCAGTAACAGGGCTGTTTCTGAAAGGACTTCATTTAAAATGAGCAGGTGCCTTAACGTAGTGAGAACTATACAGAGTCCCCAGGGCTTTCAAGTAGGGAGAGATTATGCCCAAGTTTGGCCCCAGAAGCGAAGGAAACTCTTGCTTCTCTCCTCTTGTCCCTGCTGCTGCTGATCCTGGCACAACCTGGGACAGACTTCTCGCTCATCTTGTGCATTCTCACATGCACCTTGTGTGCAGGATGGGAATTGTGATGCTCAGCTGTGTGGAGGCATTGGCAGGAAAAGGGTCAGTAGCACAAACAGGGGAAATTCCATGCTATCCTACCCTAAAATGGTAGAGAAGATGCCCTGTATCTCAACCAGGAGGCATCAGGTTCACCTGACATGTGAATGAAGAGAGCCATTCCCGAATGCTTGCTCAATACTACCTGTGAAGAAATGTCTGGAATGCAAGCCATTTACTCACTTGTACATTTGTGTGTGTGCAAACTCACGCGCACGTGTGTGAATTTGTACATATTATTTCAGCAGCGAAGCCCAAACTACTCTATTTTAAATTTTGTTGTTAAATTTTATGCCTTCCAAAAAAATGCCAGGGATTTTGTTTCAAAGGCTGTGGACAAAGACTAAAAGAGTAAAATATTCTACTGATACACATCAATGCCAACTTGATGCAGACCTGCCGCAGTTGCGCTCCTCCTTTCCAACCAACTCCATGGGCTAAAAAAAACAGCTCCTACCCGAAAGCCTGCGCCTGCAGTTACACCTTGGAACAGGCAGCACCGGATAGTCTGCATTACTGAGCACACAAGAAGGACGTATTGCAAAACGAGGTGCCCTCCCAGACAGTTCCCCCCAATTCGGCTGGAGGGACTCCAGGTCAAGCAGAATACAAGAGCACGGCACAGGTACTTAAGGGTCGAGCTTTCAAGCCATTTACGCGCAGCATAAGCACATGTTCTGTGAGCAGCCCACGCGATCCCTGTGCTGCTCACTAGCTTTGCCCAAAAGCTGTTGTCTCATTTCTTCCTGTGACCTTCACAACGTTGGTACTGCCCTCCTCACGCTTTGAACAGGTAAAAAAAGGAGCCTCCATCCCCTCTCGAACGGCTTTCACTACACGGCACAAGTTAAGATGGAAAACCAGTGGTCTCTAAAACAGCTGAGTTTATTTAAAAGAAGGGTTTGGGGGAGAAGGACATGCTGTTTTTTTGAGTCCACTTGTGCGAGGGAAGAAACGGCTCGCTTTGCGATGACTCGCATCTGTGATGTGGTGGAGATGAAGATGTCGCATCAGACACACCTTTGTCTCAGCAGCCATGTCAAGGACTGCTGCACGAGGAGATGGCAGGGAAGGGAGACATGGTAACAGAAATAGCTACTACAGTTTTGGGGTTTCTGAGTTCCTCCTCCCTGAGGACTTATGAATTTGCAGAGCCTCAGATGTTTTAAGATGAGCTCAGCAGATTAACTACTTGACACGATACAAACAGTAATGTTTCACTGAGCAATTGCCACCTGCTTAGGTTTTCCACGTCATTCACAAAGTTCCACTGAACTCAATTGCTCTGCACGATGCTATCAAATCTTTAAAAATTAAATTAAAATTTAAATTAATGATGCCACTTTGAGTAACTGAATACGTTGATTAAAAGCACTCTGGTAAGCACCTTCCATGCATCCTTGTGAAGAAGGTATGTATTGTGCTGTCATATTCACTTTTGGGTATTTACATTGCCAACTTTGGCCAGTAAGTGAACAGAGGAAGATGCCTAGTTGAAGATGCCATGTTCTCACCGTCACCCAGATAGTAATGACATTACGCCTATTAGCAGAACTAAAATTTCCTTAAACTACAGCACCAATACAACAAAAACTTTCGGTAGAAGAATCTATTCATTAACAGACTGACGCCACTATGGCATAAAAATATTTAATGATCATTAAATTACTTAAATGTAAGGTTTAATTAAACAAACCTTGAAAATTGTAATAACCAGACCCACAAGAACTCCAAACCCACTTTGCAGCAAACTCAGCACTAACTAGTTCATGTGTTTTCAAGATAAATGATACAGTAAGTGGGTTCACTTGCCACTGCTCACATGTTAGCAAAACCATGTTCTTTATACCAAGGAATTGTGGAAAATACCATCCTCATAGCTCCAAACTAGGCTAAAATAGTTTCAAGCTTTCTGTAGCTCAAGAGGGACCAAGGTGAAACGTATCAACGTGCAGAAACAGCTGGCACACGTGAACAAAGCAGGAAGGCACGTTAATCATGAGAAAAAGGAGGCAAACAATAGGCCACGGCTGAAAGTAGGGAACAGGCCGGTGTACAGCTCCAATTCGGGCTCCAGCCGT